CGAGGTAAATTTTTGGGGCCGGAGCTGGTCGTATCTCGAAAAATTTGTAAGTAGGGGCGTTTGTAACTAGAGGTACCACTGTATATAAAAAAGGATATGGCTATGCTGTCAAGCATTTAGGACAATGGTTTAAAAGGAGTTATTAAAGGGTCACTTCACAGTAAAGGAAGACCTGAATTTTGTAGCCACTGGTCTACAGTGAGAAGAATCATCCTAAGAACTAAATGGGAAAAGAATCTGTTCCTCTTCTCTCTCCCTGTTTTTAGGAACATCTGAACATCTCACAAATGACCACAGGTATATTTTGCTAATGTCATCTGAGCATTTTTTCCAAGACTGCTATGGAAGCATAAAACTATATTGATGATGCATGCTGCAAAAGTAGTTGTTCCAAATTCAATAAATAATTAGCAGGAAAAAACCCTGTTTATATATGCAGTGGCTTTCCACTGGTATAGCTGATATATATATATAGGGAAATTGATCTCTAAGAATTGGTATAGTATCTCTCTATGTGTACAGAGGACCTTTTTAAAAGAGTAATTGACTGCAGTTACTGCTTAGTTACCTTTCTTCCATGTTGTACAGGTATCATCTGGTCATCTTCTGAATGTAAGATCAAAATAGGACTAGATAACACTTTGACACTGTGGACAAGAAAAAACGTTTTAGCTGAATTTAGCTGTTTTGCCATATCTTTATCCAGCTTTTCAATCAAAAATTGTCTTCCAAGTAGCTGAATTACATTTCTAACCATTAATTAATTAATTAATGACAAAGTATCCCATGAAGCCTTCTTAGCTCTCCCACTCTAAAGATGGAGCTTTGCAGGAAGAGACCTTAACTTAGGAAACCACTTCCCAGCCATTTAAGAAAGTTTAAATTTTTAGAAGTCACTCATTTTTCTTTCTAGTACAAATTGTTTGCAGTTCTACCTTCAGTATCTCATTTCCCAGGATTTCTCATCTTTCCTGGATATTCTTCCCCTTCAAGTCAGTGGATTTCAAGTCACTGGATCAAAGCTATCCTCCATCAGTTCATCAAAATCTATCTGATTCTCCTGTATTCTTCCTCTCCTGAATATCACAAATGTGGTACATAGAGAAAATAAGCAGGGCCAGCAGACAAATTGTGGAACCCATGCTTTCAGATGCTACCATATTCATCCAACAGTGTGTGTAGGATCTTGCTGCTTTTGTCAGAATGATGAAATTCTGTTGTGGTGTCACACCACAAGCTCTCCCCCTTTTGGCCAAGTGTGCAATATCTCCACACACATAGAAAATGGATGGGTTGCATTTTAACATCATCTTTGTCAAACTGTCCCTCCCTGCAGATGCCACTGGATCTAACATTCTGAAAGAATCAAATCAAGCCTATCATTTGATTGCAGTACAAAGTCAACTCTCAGAATAGTAAACGGTAACTTATTCCATAACCTGATATCTTCCAGATGCTTTGGGATTGCATAACTCTGAACTTACTTTTCATCATTAAGAAAGTACATGTCAGCTCGGGCCATTGTGTCCAAAATTAAATACTCAAAGCCAGGAAACTTGCGGTAGATCTGGTTGAAGTAAGAAAGAAAAGATATTTTCCATTCATGGAAACTCCTTTGTCAATTGCCATAATAAACAATTTGATTTATTTGCTTATTTACAAAGATTATAAGCCACCCCAATCAAAACTGACTCTGAGCAGCATGCAATTCCCATCTTCACAGGTTCAGATAAAAAGCAAAATTAAGCATAATATCAAAAAGAAATTGGAAATACATGCTGAATGGAGCAATTAAGCCATCATTCCACATCAGAAGCCTGATAGAATAGCCATGTTTTAATGGACTTTCCAAAGAGCTAGTTTGGTCTGGTGGTGAAGGCTCCAGGCTAGAAAGCAGGAGACTGTGAGTTCTAGTCCCTCCTTAGGCACGAAAGCCGGCCAGTCACTCTCTCTCAGCCCAACCCACCTCACGGGGTTGTCGTTGTGGGGAAAATAGAAGGAGGGAGGAGTATTAGGTATGTTCGCCACCTTGAGTTATTTATAAAAATAATAAAGGCAGGATAAAAAAATTTTTTTATCCTGCCTTTATTATTTTTATAAATAACTCAAGGTGGCGAACATACCTAATACTCCTCCCTCCTTAAATAGAAGGAGGGAGGAGTATTAGGTATGTTCGCCACCTTGAGTTATTTATAAAAATAATAAAGGCAGGATAAAAAAAATTTTTTAAAAAGGCCAGGAGAGATGGGGCCATTTGGATGTCTGAGGGTGATGTATTCCAAAGGATAGCATCCAAACTGAAAAAGCACGCTTCCAAGGTCTCTATACTTGGCAGGCTCTGAGAGATGGGACCCAGAGTGAGCCTGCCTTACTTAATCTTATCAGGCAGGTTGTGGGAGAAGGCAGTCCCCCAGATACCTAAGTCCTGAATCACGAAGGGCTTTAAAGGTGACCACCAGCAGTTGCAATTGCACATGGAAGCCAACCTGTAACCAGTGCTGCTTTCACAGATCTCATATGGGCATATCATAGCATGCACATAACTACTTGAGTTGCTGCATTCTGGACCTGCTGTATCTTCCAAATGTTCCTCAATGGCAGCCTCATGCAGAATGCATTGCGATGATCCAATCAAGAGGTGATTAAGGCATGAGTAAAGCCTCTCATTCCAAGGGAGATTGTAACTGGCACCCAAGGCAGAAGTGTGTGAAGGGCTTCTTGGCCACTGCTGCTACCTGCTCAAGCAGGAGCTGTGAGTCCAGAAGGACCCTCAAATGATCTAGGTCTGTGTAGGGAATGCAATCCCAAACAGAACTCAAGATGGAATCTCTCCAAAATGAGATGGCTTATGAATCCAGAGCTATTCCATCTTGATGAGAACCTGTTCTTCCCCAACCAGACCCTAACAACCTCCAGCACTTCAACAGCATCACTTGGTCGGCCTGAGAAGTAAAGAGTAAGAGGTAAGAAGTACTAAGTACTACTAAGAAGTAAGGTTGAGTATCATGTCAGTGGATGACCTCACCCAGATCAAGCAACACCAGAATAGTCTGATTACCCCATGACAGTCTTGCCAAGTATCAACTACAAGTGTGATCAATGTGGTCTCTTCCAATACCCAGGTCTGGAACCTGACTGAAACCGATCCAGCTAATTTGTTTCCTCCAGGGCTCTCTGCAGCTACAGCCCCACCATTTTCTCAACAACCTGTCCCAAAAAAAGGGAAGGTAGGAGACTGATTGATAATAATGAACAATGGTTTTTTGAGGACAAGGTGCAGCACCCCTCACTCAAGGATGCATTGATACCACATATATACTGAAAACCTAGTATCTATTTTGTTCTTAATAATAAAAGTAAGAAGAATATTAATGAAGAAATATAAATTATTCTTTCTATCCAGGGTATCCTTTTTTTCTTTGCTAATGGTGTTCCATACAGTAAGGAAGATTCTTGAAACGTAACTGTGACGCTCTGATCGTAGCTGAGCTACAATGCCCAGCATTCCTCATTGGCTATACAGACTAGGGCAGGTGGGAGTTTTTGTTCAGCAACACCTGGAAGGACTCAGGTTCCCTGTTCTTCTTCTAACTGTATTCTGATATCCACTTCTCTTCTGCTTGAACACATACTATTAGGTCCAACTTGCTTAACCCCCTTAGGTAGATACAATTCCAGGAGTTCCCAGAGCTCAAGTGAGCCAAGCCCATGTTTTCATAACAGCTCAGCATGCTGTCACATAAAGAGTGCCAGAAGTATGTGTGGAACTAAAAATAAGTGTGCTAAGACTTACTTTTGTGATTGGGATGGTGGCAGCTGCATCCCGGATGCTGGTATAAGGAGCCTCCAGGACAACAGCATCCACGGTGATACCTTCTGGGGGAAAAATAGAGAATCAGAAAAAAATCCAAGAAGAGAAACAAAAGAGAGGCAGTGTGTTTTCTGAGACTAAGACTCTCATCCTGAGAAACAAATGCAAGAACCAGAGAAACAAGGTACACTGGTCTAGCAGAGTCAAAGTATATCAAAGCCTCAAGGCTGAATACAATCCACAATTTCCAACATCAGATTAAAGAAGCAGGGGGAAGGGGGAAGGCCCAGTTAATACTTCAAAACAGTCCCATTAAGAGATGAGTTTTATTACAAGCTATTCCATTCTTATCCACACTTTTCTTGAAAAATTAGGATGCTGCTTGCATTCCTCCCATCTCTCTAACTCTAGCTGCTCTAATCTTTCTAAACCAGAAGTGCATGTGGACCTTGGATGGTGGGCTCCAAAAGGTAGGCATAAAAAAGTAGGTGGAGCTCAATCGAAATGAAATGTGATTATGTTTGTATGAAATTAATCAAATGCAATTACTACAATTACTCTCAGGGAATGTCATGATTTTCCCATTCAGTCACCCTGAAAATTACAATTTGATGGCAGCTTTTACAAGAGCTGTGAAACCACACCCAAAGGAGCCCAAAGGCAACAGGTTGCACACCTTTGCTTGAAATACAGGAGCAATTTGCAGACAATTTGGCAATAGAAAACATGCATCGCTCTTCCCCATTTTTTCCATTCAACGTTGATAGAGGCAGTGAGAAAAATGCATTGTAACAGTGTTCACATGCTCAATCAGCAGAAATAAGTGATACAGGTAAGAATTAGGAGCTTCCATATTTGTTGCTTGTCCCCTGTTCTTCACAGGCAGGGGTGGCTGCAGGGGATGTCAAAAAGTCAAGATGGCAGCCTTGATCACATAATCAAAGCCTTGGCCCCTAAGCACATGCAGTCTGCTCAAGTAAATGATCCACACTATAATGTGGATAGCAAAAAGGAGCATGGGCCACAAGGGCAACTATGCACACAGACATACAAACACCCAACTGGGCAGTCTTTTGGTGTTTAGGGCCACATGTTATGGCGTTGGGGAGGGCAGTTTGCACAGATGGGAAACAATGCAAAATGATGAAGCTAATCATGCATTAGATTTTCTGATTTTTTGGCTGTTTGCGGGTATTTGGATTATATTTGTTACCTGTGTTAAACTTATATTGCAATTTTCATTTTTTTTCCTGCCTTATAATGGCAAAAAAAAATATGAAAAAAGAATGTCCTTGGCACACAGTAAAAGCTATCAGTCTCCCTGGGATGCAAGTTGCCTTCCCCTGCACTAAACTCATTCCCAAGCCTATTTTGCAGAGGAAATCTTGTTTGAGCTTGTCCGAGCTTCATGGATCTACCATGATGCATTTGGAAGGGAGAAACCATACAAAAAACCTGCATAATAGTACCAATTTCACTTTGCTGAGAGAGACAGAAGAAGCTACAAGGAACTTGGAAAGTGAGCATTAACACAAGAAAGAACATTATGTTTTACAGATTCTCAGTAGCCTTCTGGGAGCTCAGCCATAACAGATGAACTGCAGGGGATAATTTCTAGATAAGTGTTTTTCAAACTTGGCAACTTTAAGATGTGTGGACTTCACCTCCCAGAATTCTCCAGCCAGCAACCCCAAGCCTGTCAGTGCCACTGTTCCAGATGTTTAATACTTAATTTGTTCCTCCTTCCTCCTACATCTGCTTTTATCACTGGCTTTTATCGTATTTCCATTGTGCTATTGCAATGTTTATGTTTGTGTAAACCAGTGTTTTTCCAAACTCAGCAACTTTAAGATGTGTGGACTTCAACTCCCAGACTTCCCCAGCCAGCATGCTGGCTGGGGAAGTCTGGGAGTTGAAGTCCACACATCTTAAAGTTGTCAAGTTTGAAAAACACTATTCTAATTCTCCAGCCAGCAACCCCAAGCCTGTCAGTGCCAATTCTCCAGCCAGCAACCCCAAGCCTGTCAGTGCCTTTATGTTTGTGTAAACCAGTGTTTTTCCAAACTCAGCAACTTTAAGATGTGTGGACTTCAACTCCCAGACTTCCCCAGCCAGCATGCTGGCTGGGGAAGTCTGGGAGTTGAAGTCCACACATCTTAAAGTTGTCAAGTTTGAAAAACACTATTCTAGGTTATATAGACTATACAAAAAGAGACAAACTCTTCCACCACAATTCAGCGTAGAGATGTGACTTTTTCCACACATATCAGTAGTTACCTTGTTCTTTCAGCTTTCTGGCAGTATTGGTAGCAATTCTACAAGGAAAGAGGCAATCGTGAGGGAAGAGCAAGCCTTAACACATCTATTCTGAAGTCAGTCCCATCTGTGGGTTTGTTTCCACAAAAATTAGGGAAGAGCTACAGCCTTAAACACTTCGTTTCATGATTGCCAAAGAGGCCCCCCTCAAACCCACTGAAAACTTATGAAATCTGTGATCTTAGTATTTTTCAGCCATTTAAAGTAAGCGTTTTAGAGTTCAAAAAGGTTAACTTTATTTTAATATTGAAGTCAGAGTTCAGCAGGTTTTGCAATCCTGATCCCAAGCTTATATATTACTTCAAGTCTTCCTTACTTTGATAATACTATAGTGGCTTTAGTTTAGGTTCGTAAAAAACATAAGTTTATAAAGAACATGCACTCACATACACATACACGCACACACACAGGCACATCAATGTTCAAATCATAGTCATCAACTTTCAAGATATCAGGTAGAAAGGAATGTTTGCTCTTGTGCCGGAGCTCAAAATGACAAACCTACCCAGTGCCCAGGGAATGTCCCCAGAAGATGACCGTGCTATTCCTGCTCCGTGCCTTCACCCAGTTGTAAAGGCAGAGAACATCTGTTGTAAAGCCTTTTTCACTAGGCTCGCCAGTAGAGTCTCCATAGCCTGGGAGAAAGCAGGTGGCGGGTTAGAGGAAAATACACTGAACACCTAGAAATCAATTTTGCATTGAAACTTACCTCTGTAGTCCACAGCCAAGACATGGAAGCCACCATCACTCATTGCCTGTTTTAAAAGTTAGACAAATTTCAAACACAAACCGCTTTCTAAAAGGGAGAAAGAGAGATCCAAAACAAAGTTAACTGTTCACAAAATGCTGGCACTAGGATATACTGTCAACCTTTCAAGGCAGATCAGATTAGGAATCCAGTGTCATGTAAGCCAGTGCTACTTTTACTGTAAAGCTATAGTAACAAAATCTTGCAAGTCTGAATGTGTTTCCCCTCTCCCTCCCTTTATCCTTGTGTGAACTAGGGAGGGTCTTGTCTGAGACATTTACTCAGGTTACATCCCTATCCTGGACTCCTGTTCCTTTTATCTGATGGTTGCATAGGCAGTGGCTCTTCCTCCTGTCCCTCAAGGTCATTCCTACTTCCCTCTATACATAATGGGGGCCGGAGGGGGGCCTGCACCTGTGGACATGGCTGGTGGGGTGATGGGTTTGCCCCCCCCCAGCATCTTGCAGGTTTTTAGGGCCAAAAAATTATAGAAGGTTTTAGGGCATTTTTAATATATGTTTTTTAATTATTTATAGATTTTATCCATGGTTGGAGGGACTTGTG